ATTTGTATACCCTTTGCTCTGTTTTATATGTGGTGATGCAGATATGATAAGCATTTTGCAAAATGCCATGAACCTTTATATGGGTTTTTAGGTTTCTGAAAAGCACTAGCAAACTGTCTCTGATTTGAGTCCTTATATATGATTCTATATCATACAGTCCATATACATTTCCCTGATGCTGACGTTGCACAGAGGAGTATCTGCAGAGACTTGAACACAGTCCTTCCACAGAGAAATCTCTTCTTGATTCACTTGTACATGAATATTTCATCATGATTGTGTGCACCAGAGATTACATTCCCCTTATGCTGCCTTTGTCCTTTCCCTGATGCTGTCCTGGATGTACAGAGCATATTAAGGAGGCTGCCCTTGTAACTTACCATTTAAAACAAATTCTTTAGTGAAGAACTGCTGGAAAGGCTCCTGTGTGACCAAGGGTAAGAGCAGTGAAGTATCTGGTGGGTAGTTTAGTCATATTCTGCTTCTTGGGGATGTTACCTACAAGTGCTGAGTCAAGTCTGATAGACAACTGAGGAGTGAAGTTTCATATGCTGACTTGATTTTTGTGCTGAAATCATGTTTAAAGGGCAAACTGCCTATGGCACAGCCCATGCAAAATAGTATTTAAAATATATGCCAGTACAGATGAATTCTACTTCAGACTTAAGAGGCATTTATGAATAATGCAAAAGAGACTTCAGATGGCATGAAACGTGCATTTTGCCTTCTGCAGGGGGTGAAAGCTCTTGACTAAACAGCCACAGAATGTGAGAACAGCTGTAGATCAGCAATGTCTGTCACAGGGGAAACAAAAAAAGTGGGCCTGTTTGCTCAGCAGTTGTTAGATGAACAGGAAAGTGTCAAGAGTTCCTGCTTCATGTATTTTCTCTTGTACCCTTAAAAAGAAAGCCACCCTGTGCATTGTAAGTGCAAATGCATCTTTCTCAAGTGCTCTTTATTATCAGCATAATAGGTTGGTTTGGGCTGCTTGTCCTCATGCAAGTACTTCGGTGTAACAAAACTCATTTTGAAACTTCTAACCCACCTCCACACCTATTTCTTTTTTTACTGCTGTTGCAAATGAAATGTTTTGTGGGAGAAAAATGCCATGGGAAGACTAAAAAGAATCCTGCAGTCAGAAAGCCGTCTGTGGTGAGAAAATCCCAAAATATCTGAGGCAGGCACTAAGCACTGAGCTGGGACCTCAGTTCAGGTCTGTGGATGTGGCATTGCTTTCTCAAGGCCATGAGCCTTTCATTTCCTCATGCTTCAGTTTGCCTGCCTTCCACCATGTCACAGAGACTAATGTTTATGGAGTGCCTGGAAGTATAGCCTGCACTATTGCTTGCAGGGAGAGAATTGCAAGGCCAGCTGCAGAGGATTTTCTGCAGGTGGTTTCAATGCACACATTATATAAAGACTAAAAAAATGAGAAGCTTTTTTTTTGTGGATGAATTGTCCAGTTATTTTTTGTTATGGGATTGTCATGAAGACTCAAAATACTTGAGACTTTTGGGGCTAAACCCAGGAAAACTGCACCCTTAGCCTGTGAGCCTTTTTGCTTCCAGATCCAGAATGGAGCAGCTGGGGATGTTCTGTGAACTTAACAGATTATCCCGTGAAGTGTTGGTAGAAATTCCAGATCTCTAAATGTTTTCTGTCCTCTGCTTTTCATGTAGTTGGCTTGTTGCTGATTTTGTGCCCTCACCTGTTATGGAGAGCCACAGTGCAGTGATAAGCCAGAAAGTCCACCAGTGGCTGCAAGCCTTCCACTGCTGTGAGAAAGCTCCATGTGGCAATTAGGTTTGATTTAGCATGCATACTTCCTCTGCCAAATTCACAGGGTTTTAATGAGGAAGAGGACCCCCTACACCCTTGCAACTGATGTGGTTCAGCACACAATTCAAGCCTGTTTGCATGAGCTTTTCTCCAGCAAAAGGGCAAATGCAACTCTTAGCTCTAAAAAGGGAAAGCAGAGGAAGTAGGCAGCTGGAGGCATCGCTTCTAACTTGGAGTGGTAATACATCAAATTATTAAACAATCGAGTTACGCATAAGAAAAACCTGACACAGACTTCATAAAGACAAATCATGACAAACCAGTCTAATTTCTCTCTTTGTCAAGGTAATTTTGCCTGTCAAAGAAGTGGGAACAAGTGGTTCATAAAGACTACAGGTCTTTATGAAAATGCAGTCAAAGAGAAGTTTTCTGTGGCTCATTCTCAAACACATTTTCAGAGGGAAGGATATCTCAGTACTCCATCCCAGTTGAGTAGTAAGAGCTTGGCTGAAGGACTAAAGAGCATATTTATAACATTTATGATGGCACCACCCTGGGAAGAGTTGTAAGACTGGGGATAAAACTGCCTTTCAGAATTAGCTCAGTGCCCTGGAGAAATGGTCTGACATCAAAAAGGTGAAATACAATAAAGATAAAATCAAAGTGCTGTATTTAAAAAGGAGGAATCAAATCCTCAAATATACCTAAGGGAGAATAACTAAGTAGTATGGAGGGAAAAAACTATCTGGGGGTTTACAGTATGCCATATGCAGAGTACTGATGTTCTGGGCTCTTTTAGTCTGACATATCAAAGATGGGAACTGTATATAGGATGTAAGGTAGTAATTTGTTCCAATTAGTGCTGGCAGTGTCTCTGTCACAGTAATGCTTTTAGGTGTCAATATACTGGAGAAGAGAGAAGACTGAGGTAAAATATTTAGATTTTTGAATGGCAGGACAGGCTTAAGTCGAGAAGAGACGAGTGACAGTGTTCAGTTAGGCAAAACAAAGGACAATGAGTATTTTCCATGTCAGTGGCAGGCAGGGTAAGTGCTGTGCTGAATTTCACTTTGAAGTAGATCCAGATTTAGTAATAGAAAATCGTCCAAACAATAAGGGCAGCCAGTGATGTGACCTGTGGTACTTTCTTCCAAGGGTATCTTGAACAGGGTAGACTGAAGAATTTCTTCAGCCATTGTGTGGGGCTGTGTCTTAACCCCAGGAATCACTTAGGCCACACCAGCAGCCCCTGGCTTTTGCTAGGCTGTGTCCAGGTCTGGGAAGGAAATGTCTGTCAAGCTGCTGTAAGTAGCGAGAGTCTTGGATGCTCTGTCAGGTTGTGTGTGGGTCTGACTCTAGTTTGGAGAAAACATGATGGCCATAATAGGAACATCTGAGCTCCCTTCTGATATGGTATTTAAGCAGAAATGCTGTATGCAGAGATAGAATAGACTGTTTCAGTTGAAAGGGACCTACAACAATCATCTAGTCCAACTGCCTGACCACTTCATGGCTGACCAGAAGTTAAAACAGAGTATTAAGGACATTGTTCAAATGCCTCTTTAAACACTTGGAGGCTTGGGGCATTGACCAAGCCTGTTCCAGTGTTTGACCACCCTCTCAGTAAAGAAATGCTTCCTAATGTCCAGTCTAAACCTCCCATGGTGCAGCTTTGAACCATTCCCACCAGTAGGACATTAGTGATAGGAAGAAGAGATCATAGGATCATAGAATTACAGACTGGTTTGGGTTGGAAGGGACCTTAAAGCTCATCCAGTTCCAACCCCTGCCGCGGGTAGGGACACCTTCCACTAGAGCAGGTTGCTCCAAGCCCCTGTGTCCAACGTGGCCTTGAACACTGCCAGGGATGGGGCAGCCACAGCTTCTCTGGGCACCCTGTGCCAGCGCCTCAGCACCCTTACAGATCACCCCACAGATCACTTCCTCAGGAAGGTGCAGAGAGCTATGAGTTTGCCCCTCAGCCTCCTTTTCCCCTAACTAGACAAGCCCAAAGTCCTTAGCCACTCCTCATAGGACATTCCTTCCAGCCCTTCCACCAGCTTTGTTGCCCTTCTCTGGACACATTCGATTATCTTAGCATCCTTCTTAAATTGTGGGGCCCAGAACTGCACACAGTACTCAAGGTGAGGCTGTACCAAGTCTAAATACAGTGGGATGATCACCTCTTGAATGGCTGGTTATACTGTGTTTAACACAGCCCAGGATGTGGCTTGTCCTCTTGGCTGCCAGGGCATGCTGCTGATTCATACTGATGCCTGCTGTCAACCAGATGGCAATACTGGGGGAGGGTACAAATCTAGGTTTGTACGTATGTCTTGTATGTTTTAATTTAAGTTGGTCAGGAATGTATAACTATTCTCAGTCTTAAGTGGAATAAAATCTAGAATCTACAAAAGTATCACCGATAACTCAGATAACCTTCATTCCTCTTGATGAACCAGTATTGGAAGTGATGTTCTTTGCTGGTTGTGGTGCTCTTTGCTGCTAGTTGCCATCTGCCTTGAAATCCGAGATTTCACACTTCAGAACTTCTGTCAGTAGCTGAATTTGCTGAGATTTTCTGGCCAGACTTCAGTGCATGTCCATTGTTTTTTGCATATCCAGACAATCTGCTTCTAAACCCAGCTGTACCAACAGCTGTTGTGCTTCACCTCAGAAGCAATCCTGTTTTAATGAGCAGTGGAGTGATTTCTTTGTATAGAAATCCTTCAAGTGTAGTCTGGAATATACTCTGGTATCCTTCAAGATTAAAGGCCCCATTGTGAGTATGTCTATCATAAAAAAAATGTGTAGAATAATGTAGATATTAATGATGCATATCCAGGAGGCAGTGTGTAGAAATGTTAGATGAAAGACACTCTTCATCTGCTAAGCCTTTTTTTGTTTTACTCTAGCACCATTGTGCCTCACTTGCACAGAGGAGAAGCAACAGCAGATTTACCCATCCACTTACATCCCCAGAGGAGGCATTTAGTGTTTCATAGGTGTCGTGATGCCCTTCAGAGGTGTAATTCTTCACATGATAAAGTTTAGGAATATAATGAGATGCTTGGAAAGAAGTAATGCCAGTGAAATGGATTGAACTGTGTGGTTTGCTCTGGATTTGTTTGTAGGATCTCCTTATCAACTCTGCTGTGCAGCAGAGGGAAAAAATCTTCCTCTGTTCAGTCTAATTCTTAACTCTGATGGGTATTTTGCAGATAGAGAGCTGCATCCTTCACAAGGCCCTCACCGAAACAAGCTGCTGACAAAGCCGAGTGGCTTCAAGAGAGTTCCTGAGCCATGAGGATGGACTGTGACTGTAAGCCACAAGAGCCTGACTCACTCTTCCAGAGGAGTTTCCTGGCAGTTACAACCACTGTCAATAACCAGAGGCCAATCTTAAGCTGTATGAAAATATGTATTTGTGTATGGTTACTGTACTGAGAAGTAGTAAACTTCGATTTGCACACACCAGCTACTGCTGCTAGTCATTTTCATGCAAACTGTTGTCTTTACCCTGTGCAGTTCCAGTGAGGTAACACAGTTGTCAAGCAAAGCAGAACCTGGCACACCATGTTGACCAAGCTTTGCTTTAAGCTTTCCCTGTATGCCATCTTAATGTGGTGTCTCCACATCAAGAATATGATTCTCTGTTAGTTAAATGTGATTGTTTGGTGCACAAACAGATGTGAACGCAGTACCTCAATAAAATCTGGCATTGGTGGTGGCCTACTCTTAATTTATCATTTTCCCTTACCTTTGTTTCCTCAGAAGATTCTCGTGGATCCTAAAATTATGTTGGTGGGAGAATTTTCCAACAAAAAAGTGAAGTTTGTGTAGGGAAGCTTTTGATTTCAGTAGCTGTTTTCATCGGAAACAGTGAACACTGAAATGAGTTGAAATGAACATCCACAAATGTTTTGCCGGTTCTACATCAAAATATACTGGAATATTTATTTTGAAGCAAATTTTTAACATTTTCCAGTAATGTTCCCATTTGGAGCATTAATTTGTGAACGTTGAACTTCCTTCTGGTAATCAAAGGGCTCTAATTGCACATTTTATTTCCCCAGAAGTCTTGGGAACAACCAGCATAGTCTTAACTGTCGTGTTTGAGCTTTCAAGTCTTTCAAGCTTCGCCTTGAAATCAGGAACATTAATGAGAAACGATTTCTTTTTATCTTGTGAGGGTTTTTTAAGATCAGTGATCAAAAGAATTTCTAAACTATTTAACCATGCTATTTATGTTAAGGCTGTAGACAGATCATCCCTTCCATTTGCAGATGGAGCCTAAAATACTTACCTACCACATCAGTTATGCTTGCACTTTTTAAGATCAGATCCTTGTCTGCTATTTGGGAGTGACACCTTTGTGTGCAATAATGCTTCTTTACAGCTATTTGGTATTCTGCATCAAAGATCCTCAAGTGCTTCCACTCTAAGATACTCTTGAGTCATATTTCTTGTGTGAAATAGTACACCAGTGCCTCCAAAATAAATGGAGAATGTGGTATATGGTCTTTCTATAACTGTTTGCATATACTATCTCACTAAACTGGCAGTTGCTACTGTGGGCTTCTAGAAAATTAAAACCACATTGGATGCACAAAGAAAATATTTTTGTAACAATAAATATAAACCTGATCTTCCAGCCCAGTAACTCTCTTGATTGGGACTGTCAGAGCAGAAGGGAGAAAGATTTATGATTTTTGCCATCTGGTTTCCTTTAAAGATCCCAGCCCTGAAATACCTATCCTGGAAGCATATGCTTCATTTTAAACCACCAAGAAAAAACAGCAGATGAAAAAAAGAATTAAGTATTTTCAACTTCATGCAAACTTGAGCTAGCACTTCCGTGATTTTTACATTTTAAAGAAAGGTATTGAGCAATAAAAGATTGCTTTTGGTTTATATGTTGCAGATGAAAATATCTTTCATTTTTGTCACTTGGGCAATTTTTAAGTGTTTTATTGCTCAAATGACAAGGTTCTTTTTCCCTCAAATACTGGGCTTTTTGTTCATTTTGAGTATCTTAAGATACCAAAGTAACAGAATAAAAGGAAAACCAGAATGCAAAATAAGATTCCAATTCTTTGCCTCCATCCGGTGCCTGTTTGTTTTCTGGTACTGTGTTAGGAAAATCCATTTCTTTGCCCTTTTAGCTCAGTATTTTGTAACTGAGGGTTTCTAAATGTCACAAAAAAGTACCTCCCATGCTGGTTTGATTAGGGAATTCAATACACTGCCGATAACTGCTTTCAAACATAATGTGCAATTGCAACAAGGGTGGCTCTCTGGGCTTAATAGACATAATAAGGTTTAATGTACTTGTTAGGCATAGCCATAATTTTTGCCCTGGGAACATTTTAAGCTTAAATTGTTTAAATGAGCATAGTAAAGCAAATTCAGGGCTGTTCTGCTACTATCAGCCATACAGAAGCTAGTAGAACTCACAGGAGTTGCTACTCAGTTTTTGGTTTTCAAAGTTGAAGAATTTTTCTAATCATAAGGGCAAAATAAAAATGGGGGCTGCATTGTGTTTGCAACAGGCCTCATGGCTTATGTGATATAGAAAGTGTGCTTTGTCTCTGTGCATTTATAGATAACCAGCAGAGCAGCACAAGCAGCAGCCTCTGATTTGGGACCAGGCTGGCTGGGTCTCTCTTTAGAGTCACACTGGCAGAAGTGGCAGCTCACTCCAGAGTAATCTACCTTTCTCATCCCTACCATTCCCTAGATGTTTCAATACTCATAACTGGCTATTTACTTGTAATCTTTAACCTGACTTTGGGTCTGTGCAGTAAATGCGTAATCAATGGTCCCTCAATATAAATCAAGTACTTAGTGACTTTAATTATGATTTTTTAAGTATAATTCCTGAAAGCTTTGGCCTTTGCAATTTCTGAATTACGGAAGAAAGCCCAAAGAAAACTCACAGTTTTACCAGATGAAAATAATGTGTGTTTGAATTATTTTCCTAACCTGACAAATGCTGGAGATTCTCACAATTGTTCTGTCCTTCAAGTTTTGAAAAACATGAGGCAGAGAAAGCATAAAGATCCAGCTACTTCCTAGGAATACAAATGAGAAGCTTTTAAGTTTTCACCTGTTGGCCTGAAGCTCACAGAAATCCTGTCTCTCTTAATTTCAGGTAGGGAATTTAGAACTTTTTTGAATAGATTTAGAAGTTGTTATAGGATAAGGTCAGAGGAGTAGTCAATTCATAGGTGTCTGTGGAAGATCTGCTTGTTCTTTTCTCAGCTATTTGTTTAGAAGTTTAAAAAGTTAAGAAAAAATAGAAATAGACTTCACATTTTAACAGATACTGAACAGTTGGATAAAAATCCATTAATATATTGCATTAAAAGCAGAGGAGGAGGTAATTCTGCAATGGACAAGTTTTAGGAGAGTCGGTTCCCAGCCGTATGAAGCTATTTCTGTTTCAAACAAAAGAGATCTCTGCTACACTGAGAAACTGAAGAAATTGATAGCCTGAAGAACCACCAGCAGCAGGATGCATGTGAGTTCCTACCACCATTTATTTCTGGGGTTGATAATTGGAAACAGGGTGCTGGTTTCTAGCTGCCAATGAAATTATTGCACTTAGCTTCCCTTTTCTGTCATTCTGTTGTTCCTTAGTGACCATGAGAGTGTGGTCTACAGGTAGAGATAATTAATTTTTGTGTATATATATATATATGTGTGTGTGTGTGTGTGTGTCTCTATACAGCACCTCTGTATAAGATGCCTTTGCATGGGAAAAATCCATCCAGGTATCTCTGAATCCAGAAGTCCAATATACTAAAATTCATATTTTAGGTATGTTATACACGTGCCACTTAAAACATCTTTTTTGGCTTCTCCATTATTCCTGTGCTTTTTCCAATCTGCATCCTTTAGAAAAGCTGTTGCAGATCTTTGCTTTATATGCAGAAGAGAACATTCTGATGGCAACAGCAACACAAAGCATTAAAAAACTTGAAGAGCCTGAAGAGCCTTCCTTTATGTACAGAAGAGTGCATTTTGATGGCAACAGCAACACAAAGTGTTGAAATTGATTAGTGGAAACAGCGTAAGTACAAAGAGCTGCATATTAGCCCCTTTTTTGCAGTTCATATTTTAGGATACTTTAGCTGAAGAGTGTCTTATGGAACCACAGCTTCCCTTTTCTCCTTGTTAAAACGCTGGTGGCAGTAGGGTATTAAGGACTATGATGCTTTTCCTCTGCCCCATCAACTGTGCTGAGCATTAGAACAGCTGGGTCAAGCAGTGACACCTAGAGGTTTTAGGAGAAAATGGGTTCTTTATGCTGTGGGTGGACTTGTACACAGGGGCAGGGAGGTGTTGATGGGACAGCCGTGAGCATCCTGACCTCTCATTCAAGCAAAAATGGTATCAGTTCTAAAAAGGATGTGCAAAATCACCCCCAGCATTAGCAGAAAGCAGTAAGGGAGAGTAGACACCTGGCTGGTGAGCATTTTATGTTGTCAATTCCCATGTTTACTATGATATTCTGGATTCCACTGGTAACACCTTGCAATGACATGGTCCTTTGCCGTTATCTCTGCCTCTTTGTTCTCCCCCTTCTTTCACACAGTGTGAAACTCTTCAGATGTTCATGTACTCAGGGCTAAAAGAGCACCAAAATGGCTCTGCATGTGGCCTTCAAATACCCATGGGATAGGACTCCATTTGGAAAACCATAAAAACCTTGTGGAAACCAGCCTTCAGGTCAGAACCATCTCTGCCCAAAGCTGTGACTTACTCCAGAGAGCAGTGAGATGTTCCTCTTGTCCCTGCTGAATGACTACTTGATTCTGCAAATAAATGTAAGGTAAATACATTTCCCTTAATGAATGTGCTGCAAAATTGAATCAGTATTTTTTTCCTAAATGCATCAACGACAGCAATTTCAGTAAATTGAGTCTGCTCTTTTTACAATGCTGAATCAAAATGTCAAACCAGCACAGCGCAGTTATAGGAGAGGAAATAAAGCAACAAGCTGAATACCAGCAAGTTATTTATGAGAAACTTCACTTTGCCAATTCCATAGGTACCTGTGGGAAATGAGAACAGAAAAGAGCATAGATTCAGCTGCAGGAAAATTGACTCAGAGCAACTTGTTTGCAAAGTTTCAAAATTCAATTTTTCACTCCGTCTGAGCTGTATAAACTGGTTGCATCCTTTAGTCTGTTACTGGTTTTGCTGATGACATTTTTTAAGTGCAAAGAAGTGGGAGGAGGGAAAGGAAGAATGAGAATTCATGCAATTTGGCTTTTTAAAGAAGTAAAGGAACTTGTTACTGTTTCAATGCAGTATTGTTTTGCATTTTGACATTCTTAAAAAAGATCTTTCAGCCCAAAATAATTTCTGCAAAGGAGACAATATTGTAGCTGAATCATTTTCTTTGCATTTTTAAGCAGAGATAAGTACCTTATTCTTTATTTTAATGATGCTGAGAGATAAAGTGCAGTGACTTTAAGGTCACATGAGGTTGTATCTAAGTGCTTCCTATTGAATGAAAAGCCAGATATTTCCAGTGAAATAAATGGCTTTATTTATGACAAAGGCAGCAAATTCAGACTCTCTCCACAATTAATGGGAGACATAAAGTAACTCCAGTAAATGCATTTAGTATTCATGCAGTACTTTGGTTTTTAAAAGTAATGATAACAGTTTGAGCCACAGTTGAGAAATCAATTGCTAAAGTTATTGGCTCTAATGACTGCATGTGCAGAGCACCTCTGAGTAACATGATTCTTCTAAAGGGCAAGTTATTAGATCCTGTAACTTGTGAGTATTTCCTATGTTTTTCATTTTCTCCATTGCCATGGGAAGGC